AATAAACATTAAAAAAAAAAAATACTTGGGTTGTCTGCAGGGTGTCTGGCATATGGTTAGTATGCAATACATATTTACACTATTCTGGGCGCTTGAAGGAGATACAAAGTGCCTGTCCTCGTGGAGGTTCTACGATGTTGACTAGTTCCTAGTTCGTGGGGCTTTCCTCCCTTCTAACACTTAATGTTATCATTTGTAAATTAGGAGGTGGTGGTAAGAAAATCAGGAGGTGGTGGTGGCGATGGAAAAATGTCTAAGAAAGTAGAGGGCACTGTTAATTATTATGTTAATTGGTATAACTAAACGTGCTCTTTCCCCACTCTCCACCCCTCACAAACGTCTCTTGGCAATTTGCTCAATTTCTTCCAAAGGGCCCCGGGCCAAAATGGAGGAGCCTGGACTCCATCTCCCAGAGCGCCTGGCGGGGCGCTCTCTGCGCCTGCGCCGCAAAGTGCCCTCTCCGCCTCCCGGGAGTTAGAGTCGATCTTCTCCCCAGCCCGCCCAGTTTGCTTCCTTTCTCCACCTCCAAGCTTGATCACGCTGCCTTCTGGGAGGTGTAGTCCGTGGCCACTCGGACTCCAATTCCCAGCGGGCTTCGGGGCGGGAACCCGGAAGGGGAGGCTGGAGAGGAGCGAGTGGGGGAAACCCGCGTAGCCGAGAAGAGCTGCGGCGCGGAGAGATGGTGAGAAGCCCGAGCGGGGGCTGGGGACGCTGGAAAGCTGGGGCGGAGGTTCGGGGCCGGTGGCGAGAAGGAAGGGGCAGTGGCTAAAGAAGAGGCTGGACGAGGAGAGATCGCTTTGGGGAGGGATTTGGGAGAAACGGGAGCCGGAGGGAGTAGTAGACGAATGGGGGCTGGGGAGGGGTCTTGGAGGTGGGGAGGGAGTCGAGCCTTGGGATTGATTGTAAGGGAGCTCCGAGCTGGGGAAGGGAGTCCCGAGTTGGAGAAGGGGCTGGGCGTCCCGACAGAGGCCCTGAAGGGAGCAATTTCGAGGGGGAGTAGCCTGGGGGATGCGGAGAGGCATGGGAGTCAGGGCTAGATGAATGAGGGGGTCTGTAGGCTCCGAGGGAGAAGCCAGCTGTGGCTGCGGTGGGTTGGGGCCTCTAGATCGGACTGGGGGCAGGAGGGCAAGCTGAGGTGGTGGAAGGAGAGAAATCAATGGTAGAGTGATGTGTTGGTTAGGCTACCGTACTGGGAATGGGTGGAGAGCATGAGATTAGGCGCCTGGATGTAACGATAGTTTGCCTAGACCAGCCAGAGACTCCCAAGAAACTGGACAGTCACAGAACTAGGATAAGACGGCCAGAAAGGGCCACAGAGAGAACCTTTTGCACTCGCGTTTCTCCAGTGGGATCTGGAAAAGTGTAGTGGTGGTTGTGTACTGGCAGTCCAGCCTTCAGATCTCATTCGGTCACTCCTCGGTGACCTGAACAAGTCTCCCTTCTCTGAAACTTGGTGCCCTTATCTGAGTTGTGGGAACAACTTGCCACTGAGAAGAGGGAGGGCCTCTTAAGATTGTTACCCTCTCTTGCAATAAGTCCCCAGTCTCAGAGCTGTTGGTGGGAAGTTCCCCACCCCAGGAATGTGACTGGGTCACAGGTGCTGATGGATTCCCTCCTTATCAGTCCAACCCCGGAGGCAGTTTCTCAAAACCTGGCACTGCTCTGGGCATATCCCGGCTAAGAAGCATGCCATGCCCGGGCTCTCCTCAGTGGATTACAGCTGACATTTATGGTTTAGGAAGTGCCTGGCCCTTTTTTGGGGCGCCTGGGTGGCGCAGTCGGTTAAGCGTCCCACTTCAGCCGGGTCACGATCTCGCGGTCCGGGAGTTCGAGCCCCGCGTCGGGCTCTGGGCTGATGGCTCAGAGCCTGGAGCCTGTTTCCGATTCTGTGTCTCCCTCTCTCTGTGCCCCTCCCCCGTTCATGCTCTGTCTCTCTCTGTCCCAAAAATAAATAAACGTTGGAAGTGCCTGGCCCTTTTCTTAGCTCTTGGTGCATATTAACTCATTTAATTCTGGCAACACCCCTAAGGTGTAGGTGCTGTTATTATTTCCATTCTACAGAAAGGAAGCAGAGGCACAGAGAACTTAAGCAACTTTCCTAATGTCATCCAGCATTACATGGTAGGCTCAGGATTCCAAGCTAGGCATACTGGCACAGAATCTGGTTTCACCACTGCAATTCAGTCCCTTTGCCTTGTACTGAAACGCCAAGAGTAGGGCAGAGACTCGAGAACAGAGGCAGTCTTCAGTTTGAACTGTGGTTCTGTCATTTGCTGTGTGACCTTGGGCAAGTCTTTTGACTTCTCCTTAACTATGAAATGGGATCGGTAACCCTAGGAAGGTTAGAGGATCCAGGGAGGTCAGCACGTAAAGTTCTTGGAGTAAGTGCTCAATACACATGAGTTAGCATTTTTTGAGCGGGAGCAGGAAACAGACTCGAGAGAGAAAGTGGAAGACAGCGACCAGTGAGGGAGACATCAGCCAGTCTGCCTCCTTTTCGTTCTCTCACAGATTGCCCCCATATCTCACCCTTCTGGTGTCCCACCCACTACCCCTAGGCTCCCATGTCCAAGGGCGACTCCCCAAGGGGGGTTGCTCAGAGACTCAATCTGTCCCCATTCCCATCGCCAGCCAAATATAAATAATTCACTTCCCAATGCCCAGCCTGGCCCAGCTCCAGGCATTTCAGTGAATAGGAAATATTTCCAACAACTGTGTTCTCTTACCCCAACCTTTGGGTCATTCCAGCCTCCCCTGGCAGTCAGGTAACTTTGTAATTCATCTTGAAACAGTTTGGTTCATTTGTTGTGAGGCTTCCTGAGTTTATCACATAAGTTTTCTGACTCTGATGGGAAAGTTTATGCTTAAAAGCACTGGCCTCAGATACACCGGGGTACAAATCCCTTCCTCTGCGCTGTGTGTCCTTGGCCAAGTTGCATTCCCACTCTGGCCCTCGAGTTTTCTTATGTAACCTGGGGCCACATTCCAAGCACGGGGCTCTCGTAAGGAGATGATAAGGTAACATATATAAAATGTTTAGTGAATACGAAGTATGAGGTGTTTTTATGATTTTTATTCTTTTGAGAAAGAAACTATTGAGCATACGCTTTGGAACCAGAACGCTCAGATTTGAATCCTGGCCCCATCACACACTAGCTGTGTGACTCTAGGCAAGTCACTTAACCCCTCTGGACTTCGGTTTCCTCTTCCAGAAAATGGGGGTTCCTTCCTTGAGTAGTTCACAGTGTTGATAGAGCACCTACTATGTGTAGACTGACACCTTGCCCCTGGGGAGCTTGCTGTTGTCACAGCGTCGGTGACATTCGTGCTCA